ATAGGGCTCATTTTCATGATCCTTGTTCAGAGCCGCCGGAACAGCGAGAATAGAACCATGAGGATCAGCCGCAATGACCTTCACATTGGGGTTGTGCTTCTTCAGGCCTCGCGCCAGCCCAGTGACAGTGCCACCGGTTCCCGCACCTGCGACGATAGCACTGATTTTGCCGTTAGTTTGAGCCCAGACCTCTTCTGCGGTGCCGAGCTCGTGTGCCAATGGATTATTCACGTTTCCATATTGATCTAGGATATGCGCATTGGGGATCTCCTTCTCGAGACGTTTGGCGACGCCGATATGGGACTCGGGGGAGTCATACGCAGCCTCGTTAGGCGTACGGATAATGGTAGCATTCAAAGCCCGTAGTACGGACACTTTCTCAGCAGACATCTTCTCGGGCAGTGTGATAATAGTCTTGTAGCCTTTGAGGATTTATGAGATTCGTAATCTACCAACAAGGACCAAGGGGAGAAGGACCAACCTTTGACGGCAGCAACGAGAGCTAATCCAATTCCGCTGAAAATAACGTAGAGATTTAGACCATGTTCTCAACTATCACGGAGAGAAAGGAAGGTAAGAAAACGGCGCAACTAACGTGTTACCACTGGTAGGTTCAATCAGGGTATCACCAGGCTTGATGCGCCCCGATTTCTCCGCCTCTTCGATCATGCGCAAAGCGATTCTGTCCTTCACGCTACCTCCGGCATTGAAGTATTCCAACTTCGCATATACGGTCGCTTCAATTCCAAGGCTCTGTGGTACGCGATTTAAGCGCACAAGTGGAGTATTGCCGATGTGTTGAGTGATCGTATCAAGGGCCACTGGAGGGACGGCGGGGGACGTTTTGGACGACATTGTATGAACGATAGGCCTCAGGAAGGCCAGAGAAAAACCAGGATATCAGGCCTCAGTCAGTTCAAGTGAGAGAAGTTCATGAGAAGCCAGACAAGCTGTATTTGATTGAATTCCGAATTAAGAGTGAGGAAAAGCAGACGTGCGCAGGATGAGAAAAAAATCGCGTAACAAGAAAACTCCCCCTCCCGGCGATAGCCGCCTGTCGCCGCCTCCGACGACAATTTTAGGATTATGGTGTTATCAAACTTAGCAATCTTATTTAGTCTACTCCATACGGAAGTCGGAAATGATGGCAGATTCATAGAGAAGTATTATTTCTATAGATTGTTGACTCAGCCCCAAGTCCAGGGCTCCATGGAACAAGTACATTATTCGTTATGAGCTATTCAAGGATTCTCAACTACGACGTGGACCGTGAAGGTCCGGAAGGCAGGGTATTGTTGAAGTTTTTCTTCAGAGAATGAAGTTCGTATGATATTGTTCAGAGCTTGAGATGTCTGATGATAGCGTTGATGTACCTACCACCAGTCAAACCCAGTATCCATGATCTACAGAGTTGTACCTGGATACGGGTGCTGGACCTTAAGGACCCTGAGTGCATGACCTAACAGCACGCAAAGATTCCACCCAATGGGAGTAGTTACGATTTCTGGTAGTACGTACGGAGCAGTACTTCTCCAAAACAGCCCGATCTATTTATGTATCCAGATTCTAGACTCTATCAAAATGCGTAGAGTGTACGGAGTAGATAAATAAGCAATAATAATGATCATCCGGGCCCCTACAGACGATCGACTATTGCATTTCAGAGCCCTCGTGCCTGTCAACCCTGAATGGAATTGTGGCACTTCCAGATGGCACACGATATATTGAATCATGCTCTCCCTATGCATGCCTTGCATTCTTGATATGAAATACATCAGGCTGATGATGTCAATTGGGACAGTATACCTCGAACTCCTTACCACACTCCGGGTACTCAATCCGTACGGAGTACCACTGCTAAGTCAACCTAAAACAGTTGGAACCGATGCAATGGAATTCATGCCGTGAATACCTAGGAGTAAAGGTATCAGGTAGGTACCGTCGTACCTAGAAGGACTTCTCGGATTCTTGAATGGTAAATACTCCGTGGTCAAAGTAGATCGGGAGGATGACGAAAATGAACCAAGTTGCAGTGGCTGTGCATGATATATTCGCATTCCACTGCTTCCCCACTGGAGGCTCTCCCAGTGTCTAATTAATATCTTCCAGGTACCAAATAGCGACCATCCATGGTACAGGCACTTTTAAAGTAGGTTCTATCTACTTGGATACTGGTACCACTCTAAACATAGTGCGGAATACAGGGGATATTCATCATGATTATGATATCACGATTTTGTAGGATACATCTAATATATGCTATGTAGATTTATTAGAATCTTCTGCTATCTTCTGTTACAGCAGCTTGTATGGGGTACCCCTTCTGAATAGTGCCAAAGCCTGATACCATCCATAATTGTTGAACACCGAAGACAACTCAACAACCCCTTTTCCAGCCAAGAGAAAAAAGGTAAACAATCCAGCAATGATATATCTGGTCTAAGCCTTTTGAGGTCGATAGCTCGATTTGCCAAGCCCTCTTACTAGCTTTGAATGCCAGCAGTTAGGTTATCCTCCGTAAATCAAAATGAAACTTGATACCCACTCACTCCTACTGCCATACCGAGCATCGTCAATAATACCTACCTTAATATTCGTTCGTCTCTCTGGCCAGTCAAAGCTCAGCCAGCCACTGTGGTTAGTTACTTATTATTATCTGGCAACCAAAAGAGGAAAATCCTGCTGTAACGCCACAATGCCAGCTCACGCGCAGATCTGTTTTGGCTTGATTTCAATAACTCCATCCCCAGGTTGTCAAAGATATTTATTTTCGTAAGCATTTCTTTACATACTATCCTCGACTTGATTGAAAGTCAGGGTCACTCCCTAACTTGAGCGTTACCATAATTTACCATTGGAGCACTATAATATCAACTTATGTTGACGGCCATTTACGTTGCTTGAGGCGCCCAATTCAACATCGCTTGCTTCGTTTTTCATATTTTCTCTCCTTCTTGTTTACCTGTCCTCACTCATTATTCCATCCGTCATACAGATCAAGCACAGAATAGCGCTCCCTCTGGGAAGAATCGTCTGATTCGCATAAAGTTGTTGAGAAATTCCCCTTTGAAGTTGCTTCAGAGCGAGTGAGCGTGGGCTTCCGTGCATCAGCATGGGCGCCAATACGAGATCCTCATTTCAGAACGAACGGGTACAGCAAGATGTAAATAACGGGGATCTGAGGTCGGGGCATTTCCAACCGGCAGGGTCATCGCAAGATCAGTCCATACCTCCTACACATAACGAGAAGAGTACTCGCCGCAATGGAATATTTCGAGTTGACTCCGCTGGCGAGAGTGGCCGTAGTGGGTTTCATCCAATCCACTTTTTCGCGGTCTGCTTCAAAAGCACCTGTACACTTTCGATGCTGGTGAACGTCCTTTGGCCTGTTGTCCCGGCCGCTATTGCCATACACTTCGCTCGGAAGGATCTTCACGTTTGGATTTTCGCTTTGAACTATATTGCCATGGTCCCTTCGGCAAACTTGCTCGGCTTCGCAGGCGGAGAGTTGGCAAAGAAGCTGCCCAAAGTTCTTGGAATACTGTTGGAAACAACACTGAGTTCGGTCGTCGAGATCGTGCTCTTCATGGTTTTGATCCACAATGACCAGGGGGGAAACCTAATCCCAGTCATCCAGGCCGCTATCCTGGGCTCGATTCTTGCGAATTTGTTGCTTTGCTTGGGGTTGTGCTTCTTCTTTGGAGGTATCAGACGCCATGAACAGTCCTTTCATGAAGCTGTAAGTGAGGTCGGGTCTGGGCTTCTGCTCGTTGCAGGTTTCGGCCTGTTGATTCCGAGCGCCTTCTACGCGGCCCTAAGCTCGAGTTCAACCAAAGCGATCATCACTCAACAAGATTTGGATCATTCCACTTTGGTAATCAGTCGATCTACCTCTGTCATTCTTCTCGTCGCCTTTATTATGTAAGCCACTCTGTTCTTGGGCTGCCTTTTAAGGATTGAGTCCGCTTACACAGTTGCACAGGTTCCTGTTCTATAATCTGCATAGTCATCACAGTATTTTCGATGAAGTCCTTGAGAGCGATGAGCACCGCGACGAGGATCGAGAGGAAGAACTGCAGCGCACGAAGCTCACTCTGACCGAGTGCCTAGTGGCTATAGCATTTTCACTCACGTTCGTATGCATGTCGGCAGTCTTCTTGGTCGAAGAAATCGAGCACATTGTTGAAAGAGGCGTTTCGGATAATTTTATGGGTCTGATCTTGGTTCCTCTGGTCGAGAAGGCAGCAGAGCATCTGACCGCTATTGACGAAGCCTGGTGAGTTTCGTCCTGAAGATGAATTCAGCTGCGTCTCCAATAAATTAACATCTGTCAGGGACAATCAAATCAATTTCGCACTCTTCCACTGTCTCGGCCCTTCAATCCAGACAGCTTTGTTGAACGCGCCGCTGGCAGTCATTGTGGGCTGGTGCCTTGACAAAGACATGGGCCTCAACTTCGAAATCTTCATGATCGTCCTCGTCGTTCTGTCAATCTTGGTGGTTGGAAATTTCTTGCGCGACGGAAAGTCCAACTACCTTGAGGGAGGTCTCTGCGTGCTTGTGTATGTCATTATTGCCGTTACATCTTGGTACTATCCCAAGGTGGAAGCCGGGTCGGGCCATCATGCCGAATAATTTATTCAGTCGCGGACGTCTTTTGGCATATGTTTCATTGTTCTTTTCCAATGGTGTATCGTTTTGAATCATATTTTTTAGCAGATGAGCATGACTGGAGTTGGGGGATTTGAATAGATGCGTCTTAGAAGCTTTAGATTATCTGGCTGATTGTTGGAAAGACAGTTAATTGCATTAATAGCTTGGTATCATACTGATTATGAGAAATCCGCAAGGAAGTGGAAAAGAATAAACTATGTTATCAATTGTTCTGGAAATCGTTTCGTAGGGTTGGAGTACAACCATGGTACGGAGGTACTTAGGAGTGAAGCTTTAGGCGCGATTCCACGACGGTTCGCTCTTCCGCACCCAGGCATATCAAAACAATGGAAAAGGAGACCACAGTCAATCCGGCGGTCAGAGTTATTTGCGCTCTCAAAGATCGCAAACTTCCAATCAATCGGAATGAGGTCGAGTCGGCTTTGATCGACAACAGCAAGAATGTTGAGAACATTCAATGGGTGGAGGAGCACCTCAGACCCGACACGCTGCTTTCGCAGGAGGAACTTACACTGTATGGTTTCCCTTCCCCACCCCGTTCAATCCCAATCCTCTCTATTTTGTGGCAGATAGGCTATTGTCGCTAATCGTATCTGCAAAGATTCACAACATTGGAGAACTCGGGCGCCTTGCAAAATATCATTTCCGATCCAGATCTTGCCGCGACACGACCAGTCTTGGACGACGACCTTCGCAGTGCGATCGAATCCTTGAAAACATCCACCTCCGCGATCCAAGCACAGACGAAGATACTGAACTCACAATTCGAAATTCTGAATAGACAGTCGGGTCTACAAGAACAACGAAGGATTCGACAGCAAAGGGACATAGAACGGCTACATCAAAAGCATGAAAGCGGAAGGCAACATATCGCAGCTTCGGTAATAAACCAATATGTGGAGTATCGCAGAACGATTGAGGACTGATGTTTCCCAAGTCTAGTGACCTTGCGCGTGAGCTAGAAGCGAGCTTGAAAGCCGAATTGGATAGAGTAACGAACGATGGCAGAAAGATCCTGTCTGTGTTGGCAGTCAGGGTAAAGGATGATGACAGGATACTTGCAGAGCTGGAGCAAAGCGCTTCCGGAGTACAATTTACTACTGATGATGCCTCTATAACCAAGAGAGCATCCGAGCTGGGTTCACTACTTGCGGAATACGTGGCGGAAGAGATACACTGCCGCCTCGACAGACTGTATCTTGAAAATGTCAAAGCGGCCGGGGCAGATACGGCTGACAGAGCATCAGAAACGGAAGAGGAGGCTTTGATGACCCTGGGTGAGGAACTAGAGTCCTTGTACCCAGAGATTGACATATTAGCCGAGATGTCCACAAGGCAGCTATTCAACGAGCCCATATTACGTGCACTCCAGAATGTCCATGGTCAGCTGCGAATGGCCTCCCACAAAAGACTTGAAAATGTTGGTGGACTGTTCGTCGGAATCTGTGTGTGATTCAATGGCTAATCATCTCATAGATCCTGGATACCATCGTTGCCATGACGTCGTCTATCGGAAGCCTTGGGGAGCTCCTGCAGAGTCGCGAATCATATTGCGCGACTCTTGGGGCTCTTACAGCTTCCTACAGGACGGAAATAGGTAATCAGTTTTCCGAAAAGCCTTCTTCAAGGCGAGAGACGTTGAGTATGAGGAGGCGTTCTACTCCATTGCTATCCATCCCCGCCGCCGCAGAGAAGCGCATGGATTCTTCAGATTTCCAGGCCCTCGCGGGCGTTCTGCGCCGCATTGGTCTGTCGGTGGAGTCCGTGTTCCAATTAGAGGAGCAAGAAGGGAAAGACGATTGCGGCGAAAATGCTCTCTTTGACAAGAAACAGCACATTGTTGAGTGCCTACGCAACATTAGCGTCGGTGCTAAGTTACCCTTGGTGGCTGGATTGATTCCAAGTGACCAAGCTTCTCAACTTCTTGCATCTACTCTGAGCGAACATTCTCAATTTAAGACCTCGCTTTTGGATGTGGAACAAGACAAGAAGCTTAGTGATCTCGAGTCACAATTGGGTCAACTTCAGAAAGGGATCGAACGGCTCAACATGGACGTACTCTACCAGCGTGACAGGAGCCAAGAAAAGTTCATGGAAAAGTGGGCATAGCGAGGGAGCCTTGCGCTTATCATCATGCTTAGCCTTTTAGACTCCCGTCTCCTGCCGTCCTCGGAAGGAATGAGCCTAGCAGAACGTAGCGGCGAATTCCATATACCTCTTCAGCTCTGTGGTTGCTTGTCCACATGAACGAAGGGATCAGGCATCAATCCTTAAGGACGCTGAGAAAATCCTGCATCATGTTGGTGGCGCGGCGATCTGATGCGCATAAGTGTATGAGTACCTAGTATTATGGTCTTGAGATCCAGACTCTGTTGGGTCGATGCTTAACATCCAAAACTTCACAATGATTTTGATTTGACATGATGGATGTGGCTGGTGCCCTACCATCTGCGCCACATCCCCTTCAGCTCAGCAGCATGATATGGCCAACATCTTTGCGATCATCGACGAAGAAGTTCAATGGCTGATTTGGTCTGTAAGGCATTGCTGCGAAAACACAATGGAACTAGCAGTAGACTGGGGGAACAGAGGTTGCCTGGAATTACATCCCTATCCACAAGAGAACAGCCACTCGTCTGCAGGAACCCTTGTAAGTTGTCTAGCCGCACGACCTGCATCAGGAGGCTCTTTAGGGAAGAAACAAGGTCAAACCTCGACATCTTTGTTCGATTCGGAAAACTGTACGAAATTTGTTGCAGCTTTTTTCGTCATCTGCCTCTTGTCACTATTCATTTCCATTGCTTTCTTCGCTTAGTCTTGGATGTTTTCAGCCTGTTCGGCTGACTCCAACTGCGCCCCTGTGACCTAAACCAGCCACACCTCATTGTCTCTCTTTACGAGCGTTTACCAGGAACCCTCAGAACTGCTTGATGAGGCTACGGCCGATGGTCAGAAATTGCGAGTTACTTAGAACACAGTCATCGAATAGACTTGCCTTAGGCTGCAGCCGTAGATTAGCCCGCATATGTGCCTGGAGGACTCCAAGGGTTCTTCTGCCGCATGATCTAGCCTGCTCTTACAAGTTTTCGTCATTTGTGGTTGAAATACATATAAGTATCTCAGTTCTCAGGCTTCAAAATGCCCAAAGATCCTCCTTTCTCCGTAGGACAGTAAGGGAGACCACTCGTATGTGTCTTAATGTTGAACAAACCCGAGGATTCTCCTTACATTTTCCCTCTTCCTTTGATTATCAGGTGCTTTGAACTCATGACTTCGGCCACATGTCTTTCATCGATGACAATGCCGTTTCGGATCTTCACTTCTCTTGCAACTGCAAAATAGCAAAGTGCTCATTGTCTCTGTCTGTTACAAGAATGCGCAACTTCTGTTCATTGTTAGCCCTTCATTCGAGCAAGATACTCGCTCGATACGGTCATAGCATTTGGTGCGCATATCTGATCCTATATATCAAGGCTCAACATCATTCCGGATTGACAGCTGGCCTGAGAAGTTACCAAATACCCATTTCTCATCACCAGGACTTTGGGAGCCCTACAACTCAATACCGCGGCGCAGGCTAGAAGGAATGTGCTTGATAGAGAAGTACACTGATGTGTATCCAATGGAAATTCGAACGAGGAAAGTGATCCACAGATGCTTGTTCAGCGACGGCAGGGGGGCTTGCGACCGCGCTCGAGTGTATGATCGCGGCGAATTCTACCACGTTAGACAGTCCCAGCCGAGAAGTCCCAGAAAAATGGCTTCTCCAAGGATCAGAACCATCGAGCCCAGGAACCTCAGTGAGACAAGGTGGCAGGAGGAACATAGACATCCTTCGCCGACGGGGAGATCGTCACAAGCTCGAAGCCGGGCATTTTCGTTCCGAATCCCGACTTTCAGAATGTCTCCGGAGCCAAGTGACAGAAAGACATCGTACGAGCGCCGCGGCCGTCACAGATCACCTCGTCCCATTGTTACCGACTTCCCAGAGATCGAGGAGCGGAGGCCGCGCAACGAGCGGCCAGCTTCGGCCCGAATCCGATGCATTTCACCGCGGACAGGAAGTTCGCCGACCTCGATCAACAGGGAGAGAGTAAATGATGCTGTTGAAATACCTCGCCAGGCTCGATCACGACAACCGTCACGTGAGCAACGACCTCCTCGTCCACGAACGCCTGTTACTGAACGTGAGCCGGAGCAACGGAGACCACAGCGAGGTCTTAACTATGTAGTGGACATTCACAATGACGCGGCTGCATCCCAAGACAGAGACCGCAGGAGTTCAGAACGTCGACAAGTTCATTTCTCCAGCGACGTGGAATATGAAAAGCATGTAAACAGCATCAGGGCTCGCAACCGTTCTGCTGTTGCAAGAGATGCCGAGAACACGAGCAATAGGGCGAGCCATTCGCGAGATAGCAGTCCACATCCACGAGTTCATTCTCCTTATCCTGGAAGGGTGACGCAGCGGCATCAGGAGACCAACCGCCACCGTCCGCGAATCATCCAAGACGGTAACCGTATCATCTCAGAAGCAGGCGAGCGCATTTTAGCAGAGGGCCGGGAACGCCACCAACGCGGGAATCCAATGCGTGATGTCGAGATGCGCACTCATCGAAGAGCATCTAACAGTAGATCTGGTCGTTTGCGATTCTTCCATTCGGGCGAGAAAAGCAAAGATGACCGGTGGCATGACGAGCGCTGGTTCTGAGAGAAGAGCATTGAGCATCTGTTTGTAACAGCCGCAGGCAACCCATTTCCAGTTTTTAGTTTCCGATTGGTGAGAAGAAAGATTGAGCGTTACTTAGGCGTCTCGTGCACCATAGAAGCGTTTCCTAAACATGTCATATACATGATAGATGAAGCCAACGTCGACATGACATAGAAATTTGCAATCTCCCTTTGCGAACTTCTCTCAAAGCAAACCACTTGCTGAGCGATCAACGTGTAATCGGTGAAACTGACAAAGAGGTACTCTGTAGATAGGTGAACAAAGGATCATTACCCCAACTTGCAAGTCCCACCCGGTCTTTCATCATACATGCGTATGTTGTAGATGGTCATCATAAAAGCACAATTCACAAAAGCTACTCAAAACGCTTCTGGGAAGCCATATGCTTAAATAACTTGTTGGGATGGTGGCCTGTGGATGAGCTGGCACGGGGAAAAGCCGGGTGAAATAATGTCCGATATTCTCATTCCATCCTGAGTTTGGGCTGCTGACCTTCTGACTATTGACCATCTCCTTTTCTCTAGTCAACCTTTATCACGAAGACCATGTCACAGAAATGATGATTTTTATGATGTGATACTAATCGGTAGCGAGTCTTTCTTCATTTATCCTTAATCTCCACCCTGCCTCGGCATCCTCCCTCCCCTTTATCATCTTTGCAGTCCAAGATATATTATTTTTTTTTCCTGGGTGAGTAGCTCTGGCACACTGTCCAATTATTAAATCAGATATTGACTGTCAGGATTTGTAAGGCTTCAGACTCTACGATCGCGCCTTTTGCCATTTATCCAACGACCTCGTCGATGTCTCGCTCAACATAGTGGTGTTGCGGGCAAGCGTTACTTCCTCCTCGTGCCGTGACAGACATAAGCGTTTGCTCTCCAGCAAGTTGACTTTTCACCGCTGTTCACTGTTCATCCTACGGTCAGACGCTAAAAGGCTCGACTTAATCCGACTATTGCACGCCGGGCTCGGTCCCACAATGGTACTCTTACCAGAGGCGCTCATAACCACCTGCAGCTCTCGGGGTTGTCTTCGGAACCGCCACCCTTACTCTGTCAACTGACTGTGGCTACCATAATGAACGGATGTCGCACCCATGGTGAGGGAGCCCACGTATCTCCCGACTCAAATGCGCAAACGGACTCGAATATGTCAAAGGGAGAAGGTGAGATGTGTCTCGGTTGTACTGGCGAAGCCTTCGACATCTTGCCGGCTACGGCTCTCGAGCTACTGTGTGTCAATGTTGAATTTCTCGCCAGGCCCAGTGTTGGCAAAGTCGTCGAGCCTGTTCTGGCCGCGGGTTCCGCGCCGGCCGCCATGACACGCAGCGACAGCTTATCCAGCGGAGAAGCCACACCTACCAGGATCATCGAACTACACTGCTCTCCAATCAGTCATGAAGAGAATGCTCGGGAGCGCATTCAGCAGAGCATGTTGTCCAAGAGGTTTCTCTCGAAAAGAGAACCACCTATCAGCCTGCGCGACTACCTACTGCGGCTCCATCGGTATTGCCCGATGTCTACAGCTGTGTACCTCGCTACAAGTATCTACATCACGAGATTGGCCACGGTGGACAGAGTGATATCTGTGAATGGCAAAAATATGCACCGTCTGGTGCTGGCTGGCCTTCGAGTGGCCATGAAAGCGCTCGAAGATCTCAGCTATCCCCACAGCCGCGTTGCCAAGGTTGGGGGGGTGAGCGAGCGGGAGCTCTCCAGGCTGGAAATCAGCTTTTGTTTTCTGACGGACTTCGAGCTACGGGTTGATGCTCAGATGTTGGCTGATCAAGCACAATCTCTTCGAAGCAGCATGGATCTGGTTCTCACAGAGATGGCTTAGCTGTGTTGGGAATTGTCCCTTCATCGTTAAGAGACCTTTGTGCTATGAATGAGCTAGAGGTATTTTGGAACTCCCCGGCTAGGAATTTGGAACTTTCGAAAACTTGTTTATAGACTTGCGTACTCAGGAACGACGCCAGTGACCACCCAATGGCTTGTTCTTCGCCTCTCGACAGCTTCCTCGTCGTCTTCTTCATCATCTTCTCCATACACTTGTGCTTTTTTCTCCGGTGAAGAAATGAATCTCCTCATAATAATTACTCCTTAGGGAAAAAAAATTGAAAATTCTACACCGCAATGTGGCTGCCTAAATGACCTTTCCAGTTGAATAATCGCTCAGGCTGTGGCACACGACATAGCAGATTGACATTATTTGTAGAGAGGAACAAAAAACAAGAGGGATAGTACGACTGTAATTTTTTGACTCAATCAAAGATAAAATATCTCACTCATGAGAAACGGCCTAAAGCTATTTAGAAAAAGAGAAAAGATTGTCCTTCAAGTTGATTGCGTGTAAATCAATATCGTTAGCGTCCGTAGCGCTGTTGCGCGGGACTTAATCCGATCAGCGCATCCCCGTATTTTTGTGCATTTCCTCCATCCGTTCTTTTTCCCCCTCCCCTATCTTTCCTCCCAGAGCTCCATAGATTGCTATCTTGGAGAATATTGATCAAGTTTTGTGGGAATACTTTATAAATATCGCGATGTACCTATAAGCCCGAAGGTCTGCGGTCGTCATCTCCGAACGCTTCACGCTGTACCGTCCTCGCTACCTAGTGTCCTTTCGTTTCTCAAAGTCGGATCGAGTTAAATTTCCCTCTGACGAAACAGCGCCCCAGTAACTGCGACAGGGATGTCTTCCGGAACTACTTCTACTGAACCGCAAAGCAGCAGCAGCTCTGCAGGCATGAGCACGAGCCCTACGTCTATACCCGCTGGCAAAGGCGCAACAACACCTCCGAAGGTCACTCAACAAGATGTCAGTGTTGAACTGAAGAATATGCGGCCTGATCGAAGCCCTCCCAAGGGCTCAATACCCCTGGGAGAAGACATCATGCAGATCGCTCGTATCGGAGAAATCGGGCCCATGCAGAGGTTGTTTGACGAGAAGAAGTTTACTGCCAATTACCAAGATGAGGAAGGGATTACTCCGCTTCATGTGAGTGCAAATTCACATTTTCTGCTTGATTCGGTCGGCAATTACACTCGGATTTGTACTAACGACTTCGTCTGGGATCACAGTGGGCCGCGATCAATAATCAATACGCCATGTGCAAGTTTCTGCTGGACAATGGTGCCGACGTTAACGCCAAAGGTGGTGATTCTGTAGCAACGCCGGCCATGTGGGCCGCTCAGCGCTGTCACTATTATATAGTTCACCTCCTCCTCCAACACGGCGCCGATCCTCTTTTGACCGACGTTCAAGGTTACAACATCCTACATTTGGCCACCATTGATGGGAATGCGTTCTTGCTGGTGCTTCTCTTACACCAGGAGATACCAGTGGATGCCAGAGATCAGCAGGGTCATACCGGATTGATGTGGGCGGCGTATAAGGGATATCCTGCCTGCGTGGATCTGTTCCTGCGCTGGGGCGCCAATGTGAATGCCGTCGACGACGGCGGGCTGACCCCCTTACATTGGGCATTGGTGAAAGGGTCATTGCCATGTGTGCAGAAGCTCATCGAGTACGGTGCGGATAGGTTTGCGAAAACCAGAGATGGCAAGTCACCGGCCACGGTGGCCGGTGAGATGAACACGACGCGGGTCTGGTATCGTGCTCTTGATGAGTGCGGTTACGACGTTGATGGAAACACCACCAAGGTTCTGCCGATGGGGCTCACGTCTTGGGTGCGGAATAAGAGCGTGATGTCAAAGTTCTTCTTTCTGTGGCCATTCCTGATGGTTTATGCGGCTGTATACATCCTTAGCCACATGGTCATCTACGCTGCTATACCTATAATGCTTGTAGCGACATTTGGGCTTCAGTGGGTAGCACAAAAGGCGGCGAGTCAAGCCCCTTCGGAATACAGGGTGCTTCAGAAGACGGTATGGTCCTCTTTTCGCTGGTTTCCTGCGCCCGGGTTCTGATAGTTGATCCTTGGCCTGATCGTATACTGACACGTAACCAGCCATATCTGTCAGGTGTCTTTGCGGGAACCTTGTTCTGGGTTGGTGTCACATATATCTTCAGCGTCTTGCCAGGTAGGTATGCTTCACCTTGTTACTGCTCAGTACTAACCGTTTACACGCTTAGCAACCTATTCCACGGCGCCAATCCTGAATATATTGTTTGCGGTTTTCTATTGCCTCACAACATATTTCTACATGTGCTCAATGATTGAAGACCCCGGTTTTGTTCCGAAGACAGGTGGTCGAAACCAGCAAAGAGCCGTGATAAACGAGCTGTTTGAGCAGTGGAAGTTTGACGAGGAGAACTTCTGTGTATTTTGTATGGTTCGCAAGCCGCTGAGAAGCAAGCACTGCAAACGTTGTTCGCGCTGCGTTGCAAAGCATGACCAGTAAGTCCCGCCAACATGTGCGCGATTATTCTTAGTCATGAGAATCCTAACTTGAAATGCAGCCATTGTCCGTGGATTGACAATTGCGTGGGAGCAAATAATCTGCGTCATTTCGTTTTGTACATTATCTGCTTGGAAATCGGGATCATTCTGTTTCTGCAGCTGACATATAAGTGTGAGTATCCGCTTTGTACCCCGGGACGAAGGCTTGGAATCCGTTTAACCAGGATCAATAGACATCAATATTTTACCCGCACCTGCGGAACCTGCATGCAACATCATCAATGAAGATCTTTGTGGGTTTGTGTTGCGGGATACATTCACCCTTGTTCTGGACTTCTGGATCGCCATCCAGCTGGTCTGGGTTACTATGCTCTGTGCTGTTCAACTCGTCCAAATTTCTCGAAATCAGACGACATACGAGAACATGAGGGGCCATTCGATAGATCGAAGCTACCCAAGCTCTCGTGCCTTTGCCTCGGCCATCACTGCGGGGACGACATCGCTCGAGGCCGCTGGCCTGTCAGCCGCGGGGCAAGGTCCGAACCCCGCGCTCGCAAGGGGCCATTCGCATCGGGGACGGAGACATGGTTGCTTACAGCAGTGGTCATCTCTG